GACTTGGGGGTGGTCGTCTAGCGAGCCACCGCATGCTTCACCCACCGCTGGAGCCACGACCGACCGGATCGCTTGCGGCGGCGTCCAGCGGAGTGAGAAGGCGATGCGAGGACCGACCGATACTGAGTCGATGGCTGCCGTAGGAGGACGCCGCATGCACTCACGCGGAAGTGCGACGATCTGCGGATCGGGAGAGCCTCGACATCGAGGGGGGCTTCTTGGAGCCAGGCGGAGTCGTCGGCGACGAAAGTGAGCGCACCGAGTCGGAGCTCGCGGCCCATGACTAAACCGCCGCCGGAAACCATGTTGATGAAGATCGGAAAAAATGCAACCTCGCCGGAAGTTGCTAAGACGCTTTGTCCCACGGTGGGCGCGAACTGTCGTGGTACTAAGTCTGACACTAAGAGCAGGGGGTACGTATAAGGAGGCGAAGCCCTAGCTACGGCGAGGTTGTACACACGAGTTTACAAGTTCAGGCCCCTCTCGGAGGAGGTAAAAGCCCTACGTCTCGGTGCCCTGAGGCGGTCGACTGGAATATGGTTGTGTGTTACAAGGGGTGTGAATCCTTGTCCCAGAGAAGGGTGGCTTATATAGAGTGCGCCAGGACCCCAGCCGCCCTCCGTTGCAGGGGTTCAATGTACATTAAGATAGGGCATTACTGGTAACGCCAGCTATAAAGTGTTATCAATGATCTTTAAGACTATGGAGTGAACGGGCGCGTGGCCGAGGCGCGCGCGGAGCAGGGCCCGGCCGGGCTCGGGGCGCGCCGTGGCGGGGCGGGGATGGTGTGGGCGAGGGTGGCCGGGCCGCGGCGAGGGCTGGCTGCTGCTGCTGCCGGCGAGGCGACGGCTAGCGGTAGCGAGCGGCGAGGCGGCGCAGGCTCTGGGAGCGGCAGGCGCGGGGCTGGGGGGGCGGGGTGTTGCAAGCGTGGTGCAGATAGACAATTTGGAGTCGTCTGTCGCGTTGGGCGCCTCCAACGAATGCCGGACACATATGTCCATTTTTGCACCCATTATCACCCCAAATGAACAAAATCCGGATAAAACGGACATCCCTTTAAGGTCATGCGATGGAGTTTGACCTCACGCTGCTAGTCTGCATGCAGATGAGCCACAGTGCGTCATTTGAACCCGCCATGCTGAAGTAGGAGTACGTTGCCCTCTCCAGCAAAATAATCATCTGCCACGACGAGTACACCGAAAGCAAGGCAGGCTCGAGGTTCCCAACAGGCGGTGGTTGAGCGATGCTCGTCATGGCTTAAATTTGTTTATTTACGGTCTCCAGTCTTAATCACGTCAGGTCCTCCCTGTCCCTGGAACCACTAGTTCAGTTCAACTAATCATTAAGCTCGAGGTACCTTCAAACCACGAGCTTAATCAAATACTGCGACAACTATTGATTGATTAGCTCGTGACGCTGGGAACGGCCGGGGCGCAGAACGGCGGCAGCCCGGACGACCCCCGCCACACACGCAGGACGCGCGCGCCGTCCCTGGAAAGGTTGGCAGGTGCGTCTAGTAGTACGTGAACCATCATGGCGTTGGAATTTCTGGTGTGAGGGAGGACGAGGGCGGCATGGAGGAGGGACAGGTTTGTGAATTATTTTGTGAAAATCCCGCAACTTGTGGCACGGATGAGATGGCCGGTGGTGGCGGGAGATACGAGAAGATACGGCCAGTTTGGCCGACCGTTGGCGACAGGGATGGAGATGCCGTGCCGCGGCGTGCGCAGCCACATCACATCGCATCACCTCACCTCACCACCGCTGGGTTGAAAACAACACGAGTGAAATTACACAAGGGAATCATGCGTCCATCAACAAGAGAACAGTGAGAGACGGCAATCGTCGGGACCAAGGACGAGAAAGTGGGCGAGCGGGAGGATCACGAAATCTGTCAACAGACAAAGATGAGGCTTTCACTTGCCTTTCAACAACAACACAAGAATCACCCGCTCAGTTCACATGCCTAATCATCCGTCTACTTCACTGCCGTAAACGGTCTTGTAACAAAACTGTTTTCACCGTTAGGATCCTCGGTGAAACAACGACGCTAGGCCACCAGCGGGTCTCTCAAACAGACTCTTGCCTCGCTTTATATATAAAGCACATAATATAATATAGCCGAACGACACAAAGTAGTGAAGAAACCCTCTCACAAAGAAGATCCCAGGACAATCAAGCAATATAAATGCACACAACTTGAATACATCATCACTACACGCCCTAAGACACCTAAGTTACATGACAACGCCTTTGGGAAGGAAAATGACGCTAAGCGTCGATATTGCCAAGTCTAAGATGGACAAGAGTCTTCGCTCGGAACCCTCACCCAGAGAGCAGAACCACAACGACGTCTTCAAGAGGAGACTGGCACCCGCAAACGTCATCGTCGTCGCGTGCCAAGGCACGGAGTTTTCACTTGACAGCTCACACGTGTCACCACGAGGCATCTAGGACAATCGCAACAAGCACAAGCCTCCAGATCCGGATCTGAGCATCGCCACCGCCAGCGGCAACGAACGAGCTTAGGCCACCCGCTAGTACACCTCTCACCACCCATGCAACCAAGAGGCATAGCCACCGTCACAACAAAGGCGCCCCCCGAGAGCCGACCATGTAGACTGCCATCCGGGGCCACGCCCCAGTGTCTATGGTCCGAGACATTGCCTCTCGCCCACTTCACATCTTCCAAACCACGGTAGGAAGAGCAATGGCATCACCAACTACTCCTAGGCTGGCATCAGCTACTAGGTCCAGGTCAGCACCTCCATGGTAGGAGGCGCCCATACCTGCATCCCCAACCAGTCCCGATGGATCGGAGGGGCATGACCTAGTAACTTGCGATAACCACCGTCGGGTAAGCCTTGGCCAAGACGAGCTCACTCGACGCCACATGCTTGGCCTATGGTGTTGATCCTTCTGCCGGGATAGCGTTGTCTCAACCTCCACCATCGAGCACTGAGAGGAACTTACCACCCGAACCACGCCCAATCACTCCTACTCCGAGCAACAACCTCGACCGGTCACAGACCCATATCTGGTCTACCCAAGCACAAGCCCCATATCCAAGCTACCGCCAGCCGATGCCCGGACCTAGGAGAAGAAGGATTGCTACCACGACCCTACACCGTGTTGAAGTATAAAAGCATAGCCTACCTTTCACACAAAAGCTCTGGTTGATGGAGAAAGGTGGGCTATGCATTCATACTTTAACACCCCCTCCCCCTCCCCCCTCACGTGTGGCTCCCTCGGACCTAAACTTGATCAAAAGTGGACTGCAATTTTTTTAAAAATTATGCCAGTCGGTCTTGAACTTAAAACCTTTTGGCTCTTATACTATGTAAGATGTGATTTTTGGAACTCCTGACAGGAGCCGATTTGCGTTTATTTATGAAATACATGAAGCAATGTGCCGCAGGAATGCCTCGTCGCCGAGCACCTTCGCATGCGCCACCCGCAGCACACCGGGTTCCATATCCTGGCGAGCCCATCCTAGCCATTGCCGCCTCCCAGCCCTGTAGCCGCCGGATCCACGCACCCCCG